TCCCAGAGTTTCTGATTCAGCAGGTCTGGGGCATTTCTAACAAGTTCCCAGGACATGCTGATGCAGCTGGCCCAAGGACACATTTTGTTAGCCATCGTTCCAGTGTACAAAACCAGGAGAGCAGTTTGTGTGGTTGGGAGGAGGAGGGGGAGGAGGAGGGGGAGGAGGAGAATTGATTGAGAACCTGGTGTACAGGTTCTGTCTACATTTTCTCACAGTGAGGGAGGTATTATTCTCCCCATTTTAGAGAGGAGAAAACTGAGGCTCAGTTTCTCACAAGTCTCACAGCTTGGACTAGACTCCTCTGACTCTAAGCTTGGGCATGCTGAAGCTGAGGCTGAGTGGCTACCTGCAGGGATGCTGTAAATGGAATTCTGTTTCTGAGTGGGAGGCTGCACTAGGTAATTTCAGAGAGTCCTTCCAACTCCCATCAAAGTTAGACTGGCTTCAACTAGCACTTTTAAGCACTAGCACATATTCAGTGCCAACTAAATGTCAGGTACTACACAACATCCCTCCAGGATGCATGTGGCCACTCGTCTAACTAAGATGCTTCTGGGCCTTCTCACCTGCTCCTGTCCCTCCGATCCCTCTTGGTACCTGCAGTGACCACCCCACTCACCCTCCGCACAGGCTGAGAACTGAGTTCCTCCAGATGTTTGGTAAAGGAGGGTCTTTGTACACATACACATGCTCTGCCGTTTGCATTCATGTGGGGTGGGGTGGCTGGGTCATCTGCGTGCAATCCTTGGCACCAAGCTGTCTGCCACCCACCCCATGCCAACCCCAGACAGAGCCTACCAATCCACTCCGCACATTCTGGCCAGCAAGACAATGATGTGAGGGCTGAGAGGACAAAATCCAGAGGTGCGGGAGGGGCGGCCTCATGCCCCAGAATGGCCAGAGAAACTGCAGAACGTGCTTAATGACCTTGAACTGGACACTTCACTCTACTGCCCCTGCCTGGCCTCCTGAGAGTCTGGGAAGCTGAGACCAGAGGGCCCTGGGGACGAAAGGCAGGCCCACGGTCAGGTTAGAGGATCCTGCCAAGCATGAAATCAGGCCCAAGTCCCAGTGACTCCCCTCTAGGCTGCGATAATCAGAGCTTTTCTCTTTGTACATTTAAAAAATATATATATTTAAGGTTTTCAACTGTAACTGAGAAACAGTAAGAAAAATAAAATATACATGATGGGCTTATACGCTAAGGCATCTGTGATGCATGTAAAAGGATCGTGGTGACGGTACCTAGCTCTTATTTCACTCCATGTTATATTACCCTGTCTGCTTTCTCCTTGAGTATTTGCAGGATGGAGATCACCCATCGACGGTCCAAGATGTGCAGTTGACTTATTGCTTATCAACTTCCGGGTGTAAGCACGAGTCAGTATAGAGCAAACACCTCTCACCAAGGAGTCAGTCCCGGCACTCAGGGAAGAACAAACCCTTTGGCCCTCGCCTTGGAAGAGCAGCAGTAAACAGAGGATTATCAACGATTTAGATTGGGGGCCCTAAGGAGGGACCCCGGGAAAGTCAGAGAAAGCTTCCTGGAGGAGGTGACCCTTGAGGCAAATGAATAGATTTCAGGGCAAGAGCTTGAGAACTCTTCACTCCTACAGATCCTTGCTGCCAATCTATTCAGTCTTTCCATATTTGGGGGTCTCAAACTGCTTTCCAGAGATTGTGAGGGACAGGGATAATTCCCTTCTAATTTACAAGAAAGGAAATCAGAGTGGCTAAGGGACTATCTAAGTTTTTGTCTTTCAAATTTAAGAATGGCCACAGGGGCCGGCTCCGTGGCTTAGCGGTTAAGTGCGCGCGCTCTGATGCTGGCG